GCTCCCGCCAGCAGCTCTGGATGAGGTGGGCAGCAAACTGCATCTGCAGGAACCTGCGCCGCTCCACGAAGCCGCGCCAGTGGCTCTGAAGGATGACAGCGGCTTTGCTGAGAACCACAGGCTCTGGGGATGGTTTGCCTTCCTTTCGGCTCTGGTAGCTCCGCCAAAATCTCTGCAAACACAGCAGGGGATTCCTTCTAACAGGTGTTGTGTGAAGTACAGGGAAGTATCCAGTGGGTCCATGTGATTCACCCGATTATTCTCCATCAGTGATTTATGTTCTACAGCTCTCACTCGCTCTTCAAATGAGCTGTCCTCCCACAACTCATGCCTTCATGCAACCTCTCCAGCTTCATGTAACCTCCCACAGCTCATGCCTTCATGCAACCTCTCCAGCTTCATGTAACCTCCCACAGCTCATGCCTTCATGCAACCTCTCCAGCTCATGCCTTCATGCAACCTCTCCAGCTCATGCCTTCATACAACCTCCCACTTAGATGGGAGGACAGCACCTGCATTCATGCAACCTGTCCAGCTTCCCCCCATTCCCAACGCATTATGGCAGAAGGAGTCAATCCTGATTGCAAGCTCCCTCCTTGGACAGGAGAGCTGATTTTGCCCACGGGCTCTGTCTGCAGGATTTGGGGATGGCAATTGGCACGGGACTCCAGCAGCAGCAGCACCCACCTGTATGCTGATGGCTGCGTGCCGCAGGCTCAGGAACTGCCTCCTGCAGAGCAGGCTGCGGAACCAGCGCTGCAGCAGCGTGATCCTCCGCAGCACCTCCTGGTGCAGCAGGTCCTGCAGCAGCTGCCGCTCCCGCTCCTTCATGAAAACCTGGCCAAAACAACCCAAAAAACACTAGCATGGAAAGCTTCCCGGACCACGAGTCAAATCCTCCTGGTTTCTGCTCCCAGGAAAGTTGAGGAGCTGATTTTTGTGAAGGCACCTCTAACAGGTTTCAGCAGTTTCACAACAGTGACTCTAAGCTCTGAATTACAGAGCTTTCCCACCAGGGGAGGCAAAATGAGGACCATCATATCAAGCTAAGTCTACATACACGCAGAGATTTTGGAGGACATGAGTTTTTTGAGGCTGCCTCATTATAATCAATAGCAAAACAATATTATTCCTTACTCTTTTACATTAACAATATTAAAAGATTCATTTAAATCACTGATTTTTGGTAAGAAGAAAAACAGTTTCATTAATTAAAACCATATATAGATATAAATTTATCAGACAGAAATACAGGCAAATGTTATATCTGTGTCTTAAAGGCTGAGCTGAGGATGAACATTTACCATTGTTCTTCCCACTTGGTAATTGTCTGGATCGAGTTTTATCTTCCGGAAGAAATCATGGATATTGTGCTTAGATGGGCTGATCCCTTGTGGCAAAAGGACATGGAAATGGTTCACAAAATCCTGAGAAGGAAAAGAAAAAAGCAACACCAAGATCTGGTTAGTTGGGTCCTGCTGCTACTTTCTCCCATAAATAACAGATTTGCTCCACTGGCCACATGAAACGGGACCTCTGGAGTGAGCACAAGGACAGATAACATTTTATGCACTGAGGAACACCAAGATTCATCCAACATTTGTGGTTTGATGGGAAAGACATCAAAGCAGGGACCCAGCAAGGTTCAAACATTTTTCAGTGTGGGAGGAGAGGTTCTGCAGAAGCCACAGGGTCAAACCCCAGCAAAAAAATGCTCCAAATCCCCAGCAAGAGCCACTAGGGAAGGCAGATACCAACATCTGCAAAACATCCCTGAGATGCTCCAGCCGTTACTGCTGGGAGGATTCAAAGAGTGAAGGAGGTACAAGAGGATAGATCCTCCCAAGCAAGGTTGGGAAACCTGCTCAGGGCAAAAAAATGCTGAGCATTTTTCTTTTTCTAAACAGCTGCTGTGCAGAACATGATGTCTGCCCCAAAGCAGCCACAAGCAGGAAACCAATCAGCACCAGCAAAGCATGAAAGGGCCGACATGTACACAAAACCTGGCAAACACATGGAAAAGAAGAAAACAGGAAAAGCTGGCTAACTCCAGCAGTACTGAGGATGCATATCATCCTCCTGATGGGACACAGCCAACACGACAGGGCTAACACTGCTCCCAGTAATTCCAGATGCAGAAGAGAACGTGCAAATCAGACAGTTTTTTCCAAAAGGGAGTCCATGTTGCAAAAAAATACTGGTTTTGTTCAAAAATCCCAGCGCAGGGGGCTCGCAGCCCTCCCTGAGGTCTAGACTGGCTCACAGGCAGAGCACCGCCTGTTACATCCACTGCCTTCCAAGAGCCAGAAATTAATTACCCTGATAAAAAATGAACCAGCAACACTCAGACAACTCTGCTAATGATGCTGCAGGAGGTGGAGGACCAAGGCCTCTGTGCCCACCTGGAAGGAGTACTTGCAGCTGTAGCCCGACTGGCGGATGCGCACGGTCTCCAGCATCCCCGTGTAGCGCAGCTGCCGCAGCACCAGGCTGTCGCTGAACCTCAGGGGCAGCTGCCAGGGGAAAACCAGAGCAAGGATGAGCAAATATTTCCTTTCACTGACGCTTTTAAGTGCATGGATGGGTGAAGGGTTCAGCAGATGTAGCACATGTGCATGACACACACATTGTCAGCGATGCTACAGGAGGGAGGGAATGTAGGTCCCCAGGAACTGAACTAATCCCACTGGGATTGAATCCTGTTTGCTTCTGAGACTTTCAAACAGCTAACTAGAGAAATAAAGCCATAAAAAAAAGATTTTTTTGCATTTCAATTGAAAAAGACCCCCCAAGGGCACAGTTAATGGGTGATGTTTCGAGCAAGTAAATAATCTCCAATGCAAAAAGCTTCAGCTTTAAATGCCTGGATAGAACTCTGAAGGATTAATCTACAAAGCATCCCTACATTTAGAACTGAGGGTGTCCTCGGTCCATAATACAATTATGGAAAGTCAAATTCAAGAAATATGAGTCAGTGTGATCAATGTAGTTATTCTAAAAGTATCTGCTTTTACTTATAGAAACTTTATTTTAAGGAAGCTTCAGGGCTCAGACCCAGCACAAGTGAATTCATGGTTCTATAAATCTCTCTTATGGCTGGTCAGAAACTTCAAAGGAGTCAAATTAATTTATTAAACCAACATATTTTTCATATAAATGAAAATACTAGATTTATATAAAATTTATATATTTGTATTTTCATATAAATGAAAATACTATATTTGCATACATGTGTTTCTACAAATATAAGAAGAGCCAGTGCAGTTTATCAAGTGACACCAAGTGATAAATCCATGCTTTCCCTTGCCCAAATTGCCTAAACTCAGCTCCATTTGAGTCTTTGTTTCCTATCTAACTCCCTGTAAAAACAAAAAAAAAGATTCCCAAGCTGATTTCTAGCAGGATCTTGCTTTCTCAGGATGGCATTTACCTTCTCAGCGTTGGATCTGATGCACTTGACAAAATAGGGCTCTGCTTGGCCAAGGGTCTCCATCAGTTTGTTGAGGGATGCCTGCAGCAGAGGAGACACAGGGAAGGGAGAGGAGACCACAGAGGATAATGAAAATCCAAATGCTTAAATTATAGACCAACATAAATTGGAATTAATTATGAGTAAATGAGGCACATGGGAAATTGTTCTCCCAAATGAGTGTTTTAGCACAAGCAACTTGACTGATTTTGTCTTTGCCCTCAATAAAGAAATCAAATATAATGCTGGGCAGGATTTTCAGATCTCTGGCTTCCCTGGAGCCCAAATTCCCACCCCACTCCACACCACAAGCCTCTTCCAGCCATGAATGGGAGCTCCAAGACAAGAATTTACACTTGCCACAAAACAACCACTGATGTGTCCTGAACACAAATCAAATTTTCCTTCATCAAAAGTGACTCCAGGCAGGATTTACTCCTGATTTTTAATTGTCAAAACTTTACCGTTGGCCTAAAAATGAATTGTTTTTAATGAAAGTTTTACCAAGGGAAAACTGGGATTTCACAAATATTTTTGAACCCTGCAACCCTGAACACTTCACAGTTTGTTTCCAGAGAAGAGCCTCAATGCTGGCATGCTCCTGACTGAAGGATCACTGAGAATAGAGGGGTTTCCTGGTTCCATTTTTCTATTTCCCCTTATTTATTCATCACCATTAAAAGTCTCTCCCATAAAAGTGAATTTACATTGGCATCACTCTACATCCAGCTGCTCCAGTGGGATGTCATGCTGAGTTATCCCTTCACCTTGCAAACCTTTGGCGTTTTGGGATGAATCACAAGCTCTTGGAATAAAACGAGGCTGAAAACCAGACTGTGTCGAGTCCATCAGTGCTGGCCAGGCTCCTCAGCCACATTTTTTTGCTGTGTCCTGTAAATACTTTGGGTGTCTCTAATTGCTGAGCTCATTACAAACATGGCGTTGGTAAAGTGCTAGAGAGTTGATTACTCCTGATTTTAATAGAGTTTAAAACTCAGTGATGTAAAGGAGATTCTGTCCCATTTATTATAGGCAGAGTTATAAATTCTGGAATACAGGAGTTAATAAACTGCTGTGGTATTACAAAGAAGCATTTTGCCCACAGATCAGCTCACAGGAAGCCTTTTTTTCCCTTCTGATCATTTCAAAGACATCTTTATGGGAAGCCTTTCATGTTTAGAAAAACATGAAAATCCTGGATGTTCACTCACATCCAGGACTTTGGAAGGAGCAAGGGATGGATCCCACGCACATGTGATGCAGCTGTGTTGTGTACATTAACTTCATGCAAATCTCCCTGCTCCTGTCCCAGGGAGCAGCAGCAATGCCATGACGTGGCAGGCCTCTGCTGCCATAATCCTGGTTTTCTTAAAATCTGAGATTGCTAATTTTTACACAAAAGAAGCCTATTGGGGGCTTTCAACCAGCAGCAATGCTGCAGCAACCCACTGTGCACACACAGGCTAGTGGGAGGGAGAGGGACACAAGGGACACAACTCCTTTGTTGGAAGCCCAGTGCTGGGAATGGTGGGAATGGGACGTGCAGGACCCATGGGAGGGACATTTCCATTCCCTGGTGCCATCCTGAGTGAGGCAGATGGTCCAGGCACCCTCTGCCATCTGCTGGTCAGGAATCCACAAAGGACACGTGAGGTCGCTGGATTAACCTTGGACCCATCTCCTTTGTCCCTCTGCCAGCCAAACCTGGCAGCCACCCCCTCCTTGAGCACCTGTACTGCACTCAACCCCTCCAGCCCTGTCTCCAGGGCACCCCCTGCACGTGGGTTAAAGGGGAACTCCACAGTTTTAGCTATGGCTGGTTTCGTTTTCCATCCCTGCTCCCGGAGCACACTCGGAGGCAGCTCTTTCCCCTACAGATTACCCTAAGTCTAGGGATAGTGGAAATCCACAGGAGATGGAGCAGCTGCAAGCCTGGGGTTGAGGTATTAGCCACAAAGCAGCGTTTCTCTGAAAAAAAAACCACGTTAGGAAACATTTGTGTTTCCTGCCTGTGACCCAATTCCATGCGCTGCAATTTTATTAGATTGCTCTTGATTAAAAAAGCGATGCTGCTGCTTTGTCCCTTAAAATTGGTCTCTTTAACAAGTGCTCACTGAGGTTAGGGATCGTTGATTTGAATGTGCTCTGAAAATATTAAAAAAAAAAATCAATTTTTGTCCCCTAGGGCTTTTCAGAGTTTTGTTGGGAGCATAAATAGGTTTTGGGAAGGCTTTCACTCCAAGACATCCCTGTTTCAACCCCTCCATGGGTATGAATTAAACTCTGCAGGAGTAAATTTTGACCAGAATACCATTAGATTAGACAAGGCTAAATACATAAATTTACAAATGTGCATTCTGCAAATTATATATACACATGTGTGTGTGCATGTATTTTTAATTATTTTATCTTACCCACACCTACACACAGAGATTTCCTAAATATAAACCACATCTCCAAAAAAGCCCCAAAGCAGTCAAAATTACAAGTCAAAACCAAGCCAGACATGCCTAGAATCCAAATTTTAAGTGAAAAGCTGCTTTCTATTATTACCACCTGCTTGTGCACATGTCTTGCAGCAGTTTGCAAGCCGTGCTGCACATATAGAACATTCACATTCAGGTTGGAAAAGACCTTTAAGATCATTCAGTCCAACTGTGAGCCCAGCATTGCCAAGTCCTTGGAGCATTATTTTCCCTGCACCAACCCCAGGGATTGCTGACTGACAAAACAAAATCGATCCCTCCTCTGAACTCCCCTGCTCACCAGGAGATAATGCAGCAGAATTCTGACTTTTCTGCCACTATTAAAATCCCTATTCTGTCTCAGAACAGATTATGCTGGATGAGAGTAAAAAGACTGCAAAAAACATGATGTGGGGATTTGGTGGTTTCTGGATTTGGGGGAGAAAGCACCACAATATGATGTACCAGAGGACAGGGATGCACCAGCATCTCTCCCTGCAGCTCATCCTCATGTCCCACTCAAGCCCTCAGGGGGATCCATGGCCTGAATGCTGCAGGGATGGGGCAGGAGTGTGCCTGGAGCAGGGGGCTCCCCTCTCTCCAGCAAAGCAAAGGGCTCACCTGGAACTGGGCACTGATGCTGGGTGGTTTTTTCTTCTTGTGGAGGTGGAGCAGAGATTTGGTGATGCGGTCGTGCAGCGTCAGGTTGGTGAGGTGCTTGAGGGACTTCACGTCCAGCAAGTGCTGTGGAAAACGAGAGAATCCATAGAAAATCCAGATGTTACCATCACACCATCTGCTATATCCCTCCTTCACCCTCACAGGGCTTCCTTAGGTGATGTAATCTCAACAGGGAACACTGGGGATGGCTGCCCTGAGAGGGTGGGCAGGCCCTGGCACAGGGTGCCCAGAGAAGCTCTGCCTGCCCCATCCCTGGCAGTGCCCCAGGCCAGGCTGGACAGGGCTTGGAGCACCCTGGGATAGTGGAAGGTGTCCCTGCCCATTGCAGGGGGTAGAACTGGATGACCCTTAAATTCCTTCCCAACACAAACCATCCTATGATTCTCCTCACTGTAAATGAGCAGTTCATTGATTAATTTCATCAGTGCCTCTCCAGGTGCAAGACGGACATGGAGAGGAGTAAAAACCAATGTTTGCTCCTCTTCTGGTGCTCTGCTCCTGACCATGGATGCAGCACCAAAAGCCTTATTCTTCTAGGGACAAGAAATGTCCTGGCATCTCTTAAAATATAATAAATGTAGCCAAGACAGAGGGAAAGTAACAACGTTGTTGTCTATCAGGTACCAGCTCTCCTGCATCACTTACTTGTTCATTTCAGTTTAGAGATTTAGTTATTAAATTTCACTAGCATGTACATACTCCTTCTCAGAAGGAGGAAAAATGAGAGAGCAGCTCCAAGGAGGATGTAAGTGCTCACATTTCTTTCTCCCAGCAGAAACCAGGGCTGAAATCCTCTGGGTTTATATGAATTAAAGAGCCCTGAACAGAGCTGAACTGACCAAAGTCTTGGTGTAGACACAATGGTCTTCTTCATATCCAGCAGCATCACATGATTGTGCTACAGCCTTAACCCACAAAACACAAGGGGAAAATGCTGCTTCTCACTCACCTTTGGGAGACTGGGTTTGGCTTTGAAGTTCTTATTTCGCCTGGGGAGATAATAAATGGCTCAGGTTAATCCCCAGTGCAATTGTGGAATGGAGGAGTTGATGAAACCAGCCCCTCCACATCCCCCTGGGCAGCTGCTGCCAGGGCCAGCACTGAAATGGGGCTGCCCTGCACACTGCAGACTGGGAGGGCTGTATCCAATAATGGGAATGGTTACACTGGAAATGATGGCATGCTGGGAACTTGGGAAGAGTGAAGATGCCAGCTCACAAAATGATTGACCAGCCTCCTGCTTTCCAAACCCCATGTTCATTGCAGCCACCCTGGGATGCTCCCTGAACCTTTGAGGAGGCTGCAGTGTGAATCACCTGCCCAGATAATTATAATGGAAACTCTGATAAGATGCTAAAAGTGTGACTGCATTACACAGCTGCTGTATCTCCAGACTGGTGTGACCAGAAGGTTTGTTCATTCTCTTTCTTCCCTTTGTCTGTCATTCTCAATGAATGAGACAAATTAAATCAGACATGTCAAATGTACCAGGATTGCTTTAACCCAGCTGGGAGACAGCTCCAAGTCTGCTTGGCACCCTGACACTTTTATATTCTGGCTATTTCCATTGCCCTAGCCACCCCTGCTGCTCATTGTGCCAGGAGTAAAGCCCAGATCCCCTCCTGGGTACTGACATGAGGATGCCATGGGCCCTCTCCAGCAGTTTGCTGTTGGTGGTGTTGACAAATATCCCATCTTTGTCCAGGAAGGTGCCAGGGCTGGCGAGCCTGTTGTGCCTCATCCCCATCCTGCCATTCCAGCCAACTCCATAGGCGTCCCTGCAACACCAGACACCGTTAGAAGAGATAAAAAACACAGTTCCATGATAAAAACAGATCATAAAACAACCCATCAGCTGCTGCTTTTTTCTTTCCATTGTTCATTCTCTCTGATGGGATGAGTCCCTGGTGCCAGACATCATCAGACCGAGCCATCATCTACTAAAGCAGCTCTCAGAGATCAAACACTCACAAAAGGAACAAATGAACAGCAGGACAAAACCAGCTTCCAGCTCTCCCAGACAGAAACCTTGAGTCTGCAGATACCTCTAGACACCTTTGGTTACCTCTAGACACCTTTGGTTACCTCTAGACACCTTTGGTGGCCTGAAGGACACAAGGCCATGACACCTGGTGCTGACTCTGGCTCCTCAAATTCACACAATCATTCCATTGGGAAAAGAAAAAGCAAATCTAATTTGCAATAAACTCATTATTTGCCACAAAGACGGATGTCAGCCCCAGCTGGATGATGGGTTGACCCAGAATCATTCTCTGGGACCTAATTACAAATCAGTCACTCAATTTGGTCCCTTCTGCCATGGAGCATAACTGCTGTGGTCTCCAGAAATGCTCACCTGGCTTCAGAAGGGCTAAAGGAAATAAGGAGAGGAATCAAAATCCTCTCTTGGAGGGATGGAAACTGATACTTGACCAAACTACACATCAGGACAAGCAATTTCCTGAAGTGAGGAGCCTTCAAGTGGTGTCTGGGGAATATGAAGCCTCTCATGGGCAGCATCTCACCAAAATACTTTTGGCTTGGTGGGTTTGTTGGGGTTTTTAAATTCTAAATTTTTTGTCAGCCTTGCAGAAATCATTATATGAAATAAAAGCAATCCAAGTTATCTCAGACAGGAGGAAATGGAGCAGGAGGAGACTCCAGGCTGCAGCAGGTCATGAGGATGCTGAAGGACACGGTGGCTTAAACGCGGCCTCGGGCGCCGGCCACTTCTGAGCGCTGACAACAAGGCAGCCCTTTGCCTTAAAGTCCTGATTGGGATGAAAGGCAAATCTCAAGTGCCACATGGAAATTAAAAATTAAAGGATGTAAAGCTGTGTGTTCAGCCAGCTCAAAGCCTGGAGCCAGATCCTCAGAGCAACGTCACCTCGCTGCCTCATCTAAGCACTTCCCAAATTCCTTCCTGATCCTATTAAATCAGCATTCTGACATGGACCACTATTATAAGGAGGGATCAATCACAGCAAAGCAAAACCCCTGGCTAAGTGCTCCAGGACCTGCTTTCTTAAGCATTCCATTCACAGATGGCTAGTGAGGAGCTGGAATATCCAAGTGATCCCCCCTCTTCACCTTCCTTCTCTTTACATCTCAGATACCATCCACCTCCTGTTTGCAGGTGGGAAAAAAAAATCACCACTAAAACTCAACAGCCACTTTTGGGATGTACAACACCATTAATCCTGATTAACCTCCCTGGAAAATCACAGAAATTCCCACATGGTTTTGAAAAAAACAAAAGATAAAATGACAGGGACATTTCAGGACGGATACATTCAGATGGCAACAGATGCAGGATTTTGGTATTTTGGGGTCAATCCCCTCACCTCGCCCAGCCAGCTGCTTCCAGACCAACACCTGCTCAGACAGCCCTGCACATAAAAGTGTCCCTAGTGAGCACAAACCAGCAGGATCCCAAGCAGCCCAAGTGGTTTTGGTTAGGCATGGCCTGGCCTTCATTTCTCAGCAGCTGGGGAAGGCACTTGGAACGCTCTGCTGAAGCCTGGTTTCCCACCCAGCATGTGCAAACCACCCATCCACTTTTTTTCTGAGATCAGAGGAGAGCACTTGGCTCCCTAAACCCTCCACAGTGACTTCCTGAGTGATGTCATGCCTCAAACTTGCTTTTAGAAACAGGCCCCGGGCTATCCTGTAGGTTGGATGCACAACCAGGCTTATCAGCGACCACATGATCATGAGAGGCTTTGAAAGCAATTCCTGTTTAATTTGGAGCTGTAAATGGCCTGCCAGTCCCTCTGCTGGGAAGCTGCTCATGCCAATCTCTCTTCCAGAGTGTCACCTGCACTCCCGTGCTCACCTCCTCTTGCCCAACAAGCGCCACATTGGTATTTACCTGAAATACCAACATTCATCAAGGGTGACACCACTCTCCAGATCAAAAGCAGCTCCAATGAAAGGGATCAGAATCACCAGCCTGCTCTGAAAGTACAGGCTGGACCTTGGGGATCTTATGAGACATCTGGTTTGTACTTCCAGAAGGAAGGGGTAAAGGTGACATTTGGGGACCCACTACTGACGATGCCCAAGGGAAGATCACAGACCACATTACTGAGGCATCACAGGAGTTAGGATGGCTCCAAAAGCACTTTTTTTTTTTTTTTTTTTTTTGCAAATAAAGCCTCAGATTGAGGCTGCTGGTAGGACACAGCTGCTGAGGATGAGGAAGAAAAACAGAGTTTCTCAATTCTGGCTGTTTAGGCTGATTTGTCTGCTGTGCTGGTATGGGCTAAGCCACATAACCAGAGCTCACCCCATACTGAGCTCCACACTAAATAAACACATCCTCCTCCTTGCCTGGCTCAGGAGGAGTTTCCCTGCCTTTACAATGTCCCTTTGCGGAGATAATTAAAATATTTGGGGCTATGAAAATGTTGGCAGCCCCAGCTCCCACACTACAGTGCCTCCAAAGCTGGAGTTGGGCAGTCCAGAAAAGCCCTGTCCCAGTTTACAGATGCTCCAAAGGTGCCAAAGGTTGGATAGAGAAACTGCAGGAATTCTCTTATCTCCAAGGGAAGATCTCCACAGGGACAAAGTTTCACATTACGTTATCTTGAGGGAAACTTGCACAATCAGAGGTGCTGGGAACAGGGAACGTCACCTCTGGAGACACCGACCTTCCCTGCCCTGAGTGCTACCAAGGACTGGCTGTCATCACAACCCAGCCCAGCAGCAGCTCAGCATTATGAGAAAGGGAAGGAGGGTGGCAAAGACTCAGGTGAGGACAGCCAGGGTTGCATCACCTTCCCAGGACAGAGTGGCACTGCTTGTACCACCCAGATTTCTGCTCAAATTCGAGAAGTGGCACAAATTAATGAATTCAATCCCACCATTTTAAGTAAATTTCATGTTCTCTAACCACTGAAATGGACTTGTAATGATGTGAGAACATTCAGTTCTCCTTCAGTAGGGTGCTACTGCCTCTCTCAAAGGGGAGGAATTCAGAGGAAGAAGGACATTCTATTCTTGATGGCACCCAGGGAGCACATGGTGAAAAAAACCAGGCAGAAGAAGCCACTTTTGTTCCCCTAGAAAAAAAAGGAACTATGTGTATCTAATTTTTGTTGTGGCCATTTTGCATTAAAGCCATTAAAAATGAGCCTTTATAATATCCTTGAGGGATATTTAATTTTGTATGGAAGGGAATTGCACTGAGATGCAAGGACTGATTTAATGGGCCCATTTCAGGAGACAGACTTAGACTCCTCTTGACTTGTTCTGGGCTTCTCATTAACTTCAGAGCAGCCATAAAGACACACCTGGATATCTGCAGCTGCAAGCAGAGCTTGTAGGAGCTGAGGGTGCTCCCATCACTCCCTTCCCCAGCACACACCTGCTCAGAGGGAAGCAGAGAGGCACTGCCTGCCTTTAGAGGGGCATTGGGAAAATCAGACCTCCTGGGATGAGAGGAGGGATAGCACAAGAGCAGCTGGGAAAAGGATCAGCGCCCAGACATGCCCTGGAAATGAAGACTTTGGCTTCACAAGCAAGTTAATTCTGGAATAGGGACGGAGAAGGCTTTGCAGAAGAGGCCCAGATTTGTATCTCAAGTGTAGACCTGAGTTTTATTCAGTAGCTGCTTAAATGGTCAGAAACTTCAAGGAGGGATTTAAAAATAAAAATGTACAGAAAATCTGTAGAAACCAGTAAGTTTTGAAGCAAATGTGCTTTTTTACCCCCTGAAAACAAGCAAGCATTTGGCAAAGTACAATCTCAAACTCCATCACTTCCAGGTTTTCCACATTCCAGGGTGCCTGAAGCCACCACATGCTGTAAGCAGCTCTGCACCCAAACCTGTCCTCCTTGAATGACTATTTCCTTGATATTGGCACATTCATTCATTTTTTAAAGCTTCTTATCCCCTCATACACCCATCCCCAACACCTGCTGCCTTTGACACAGGGAAGTTGCCTTTCCTGCTGCTGTTTAGTCAGGAAAGGTGTTTATATCCGATCACACGGCAGAGAAAGAAGGAAGAGAAGTTAAGATTGACAGGTGAGATAGAAAAAACGTCAATACAGTAATTTTCAGGTACAGACAGTGCTCCCCCATCCCAGACCAAGGTAAAGCAGGATCCTTACCGTGGGCCCCTCTCGTTGATGGTGTTGACTCCCTGCAGGTCTGAGAGCGGCGTCCGCGGGCTCTTCCGAGTGATACCTGAAGCAGCACATGAGGGAGACGTTTCCAGCTGGCTCACACCCAAGAGACAATTAGCAGAGCCATCCCCAGAGACAATGAGCAGAGCCATAGCTGAGGCCTGACTCTGCTGACGCGTCCTGGCACATGCCGGGTGCCAGGGATGCCATCGCTCCCAGTGCCACCTCCCTGCCAGCGCCATCGCCCTCGTGAGTGGCACTGCCTGCTCCAGCCTCCCATTGCTCTCCCACACACACAGGGGGTGTTCTGGGGACATGCTGCTCCACCTAGCAAAGAGGAGGTGATGGGAGCAGCCACTCATGCTCTCCATGTTCAAGAGATTCCCAAGCTTTCCACTGGGCATAGGATAACCCAGCTGCATGGGCAAAACACCTGGACATAACTGGAATGCTTGGAAAAATGGTCATTTATTCCTTACACACTTCTTCTCTCCCTCCCTCCAAATAGATGGACATGTGCATCTATTTATGCTTTATAGCATTTATAACTTTATAGCATTTATAACTGTATAGCATTTATAACTTTACAGCATTTCCTACTTGCTGCACATGTCCATCTCTTTGGAGGGAGAGAAGAAGTGTCCAAGGAATAAATGAATGCCTTGGAAATGAAGACTTTGGCTTCACAAGCAAGTTAATTCTGGAATGGGGAAGGAGAAAGCTTTGCAGAAGATGCTCAGATTTGTATCTCAAGTGTAGACCTGAGTTTCATTCAGTAGCTGCTTAAATGGTCAGAAACTTCAAGGAAGGATTTAAAAATGTATATAAAATCTGCAAAAATCAATCAATTTTGAAGCAAATGTGCTTTCCCCCCAATTTTGAAGCAAATGTGCTTTCTTAATATGAAATATTTTTCATTTATTCCTTTCCACTTCTTATACTATTATAGACACTTCTACGCTATTTTATAAAGGCCTGATTGCCTATTGAGCCTATATCCTTTGATAGCTAGAATAATTTATTTGTAATAAATTACAGCTAATAAAACAATATATTAAATAAAGTATTTTGTATTCAGCCAAGGAAGCTGCCACACATGGTTACAGTAGCAGCTGTTATCTGCCCTGAAGTGGAAATGTTTTGTAACCAAGCACTTAGGAAGACAGGAGACAATTATTGTAGACAACAAAACACTTCGAGTCACCAAACCACAAAAATATAAAGATCTGATAATGTGGAGTTTGACATGGAAACAGCTGAGCAATTTTATAACTGTCTCAAAATCACTGCTGTGACACAGGAAAAATCACAGCTCTCACCTCAGCATGGGAAAAATGTTTTATTCTACCCTGAAACATCTACAGTGGGAAAAAAACAGGGGGAAAAAAAGCTTTCTAAAAAGAAAAAAATCTAAACTATGGTTTGTAGCAGGACAGAAGGAAGCAATGGCATATCCCCTCCTCCCAGTATTTATAATTCCTCTATTTCATACAGCCCAAGTGTTGAGTTAAAAGGTGTCCTGGCGATTTTTTACTCTGAAAGATGAACACAAAGCAAACATACTGAGACCTGAGCCTGTCCTGCTGTTCTGAGCCTGGAATTCCTGAGGAGAAGATGAATTCCTACCAAAGCCATCCCTTTAACAGGACATTCACCACCCTCCCTGCCCTGTTAAGGTGTGGTAACTGCTCATCTTAGAGCTCAACAGGAGAACCTGCTCATCTTGAATTGGGCAGGAAATCCCTGAAAAGGCTGATGGTCCACCTGGTTAAGTTTTTGCATCTAAAGGTGCCCAAACATTCTGGAAATGCCAACAAAAGAAAACTTGAGGGTGTGCTGTCCCTTTGTCCCTGTGTGTATCTCTGAACCCTGCCCGTGCTCGAGGGCAGGACCAACCAAAGCACTCCTGCTGAGGAGGTTTGGCATCTCCAGCACTGCAGGGTTTTGGAAAGCAAGGCAGGTAATGCATCTGAGTGCTTAACAACACCCAAGCTCAAAAATCTTTTCAATCCCTCTTTTTGTCACTTAAGCCATTTTTGGGTTACATTTCTTGTCCTAGGAGTGTTCTTGTACCTCTTTCAACACTGGCATTTCTGTGTTCAAAGTCCTGATTTAAAGCACAGAAACCCAATTGTAAATAGGGAAAAATGGGAATAACCATGAATCTGCTTAAAATGTTGCATTAGCACTTTGTGTAGCTAGTTTTAAACTAAGAAAGCACCTAATGTCTAGCTGGATCTATTAGTAAAATAGATTAAACTAATATATTTTAATATGCCTGGATACTCCCCCATTAAGGCCCAGAAGGCTTTTGCTGCCTAAATGAATCCATGAAAAATGGGATTTCACTGGTATTTCCAAGATTTTTTTAATGCCTACCCTTCTTTTTGGAGCAAAATCTGCCTTCCTACCCTTCTGTCAGGCTCAGACACAGCCTGATCTGGTTTATACTTCAGGCAGAAAATTATTCTGATTTTTGAAGCATATTCCCTTTCCTTCAGCATGAGTGTTTTGGAAAAATGGACTGATTGACCAGACAGGTCTTTGCCTTGTTGAGAAGAGTTCTGGATAAGCTCTGTCAATTCTCTATGGATGAATACCAACCAGCAGACCTCCAGTGTTGGTTCAGAGGTGTCCAAACCCAGTGCCTTGCTCTGGAGGAACTGGTGGTGTTAGGGAGGCTGTGGATGGTAAGGGAAGGGAGACCAGTTGGCTCCAAAGCTGAATACCAAGGGACCCACAGGGAATCTCAATAAACTCATCAAACCCATTTGTTTTCTCTCTTTGCTCAGAGCTAACTGCACAGCTCAAAACAAGGGGATGACCTTGGTTCCTGTCTCAAGGATGATGTGGATGTGGGAAAAGCCAAGTCCCCGGGGCCAGGCTTGCCTGTGGGGACCAAACCCTGATGGATTCTGAAGCAGAACATTCCACATTCTCCAAGCCCACCTCAGCTGGGAGCCTGGGGAAGCAGGAGCACACCCCTGGGGAGATGGGAGGGATCTCTGAATGCAGAACTAGAATTACTTGTTTGCCTGGTCAGGTGCCAATTCACAAACTGGCAATGTTCTTCTCAGACCCACTTGTTGGATTTATCCCAAGAGATCCCACATTGTGTGGACTCATCTGTATTAGTGAGGTTTTGAGGTGTTGAGCTCAACAGCTTCCTGTTTCCCATTAAATTAAAGCTCAAAGTATCTCTTGAGTTGTATGAATTTCTTTTTCCTCACCTAAGGAAATGCAAACTAAACCCTGCCCAAAATCTCTCATATTGCTGAGCCAACTTAAAAATGAAAGTTAAATTGATTCATTAATGGCAAGTAAAATTACACTGCTGATAACTACCTTCCTTTTCAATAGTTTCTTAGTAGTATCAGTAAGGTCATTTGGCACAACACCTTTTAATAAAATCAAAAATCAAGTAAAATTTAGCACCACCCCTTTATGTTTTCTTATAGCAGTGTTGGGAAATGTAGGGGAAAATAACATAGTTAAATTAAGAATGAGAGCCTAAATTAAGACCTAAACCACCACTGTTTGCCCAACCTCACATGCTGCAGGAAGCAGAGATATCTGACAGAATGTTTCTAACAGGAAAACCATATTTATGAAAATTTAACATGCATCTACTGTACTTACCATGCTCAGATCTACAGAAAAAAAGGTGGTTTCCACTTACACCTAAATTTCAGTAAGTTTAAGCAAGTTGGGCTGCAGAGCAGCTTTATTTCTGTCAGCTTTAACAGGCAACATGAATGAAGAGAATAATGGTAGGAAAATAATACATCTAAACATGACAGCACCAAATATCTATTTAAATATAAAAATAAACCAGAGTAGTGCAGGCAAGAGTGTCCATGTTGTCATGCAGGATGAGTTTATTACATGACAGAGGAGTGAAGATGAAGAAAAGGAGACCAAGTGCATCATTCCATAAAATAACATTGACAATGCTCTGCTTTAAGTAAAAGCCCTGAGAGACAATATTTTCACAAGCTAAAGGCATTTTTGAAGTCTAATGAAATCCAAATTACGTTGAATTCCAGCTGTATCAGCTGTGTATCAGGAATATTCTTAATTAATGTCAGTAAATGGGAAAATTGCCAACAAAACAATTTTTCCAAGATCCCAAGAGGTGTATGGGTTTGCTTTTCATTTGACTCTTCCAACTCTGCCTAATCATTTCCCAATAGGTTCAAAACTGCTCTGAGGCACCTGGTTTGACCATGGAGGGCTCCTCAGGTGTTGGTTTTTTATCCTTTCTGCATGGAATGCACCTGGTTTCCGTTTCTGGACGTGTGAGTGTGGTACCAGAGGGGAGGGTGAGTGGTGGAGCCTTACTGTACTTCTCCTCCTTGCACCTCTGCAGGATCTCTAAGCTCCTCTGATGAACTGGGTGGTGGAGAAAGCTAAAACTATCCACACTTTTCAAAACCGCACATGGCACTGCATCATCATGCCCTTGGGAAGCAAAATAAAAACAAACAAAAAAAAAATGGAGAGAAGAGAAAGATTTTATAAGCGGAAGTCAGGAGAGGGGAAGGAACAAGCCCAAAGGAGCTCGAGGGTCGCAGGTTTTTGTGCTTGACACAATTTAACTGTGGTTTCCTCCTCACAGCACTGAGGCATGGAAGCAATGGGCTGGACCACATCCCAGTCCTAATTAGAATCTTCATTAGACAGAGCATAAACACTTAATAATCACTCCAAGATTATTTGGGCAAAAAGAGGATTATTAGATAAATCTTTACTTTTATTAACTTATTTTTTAAATCCCTTCTGTGCCTCTGCCCAGTGTTACCAGCAAATCCCTGTCCAGCTGCTCCATGACACAGCCTGGAATTCTCATCGTGCATCCCAGTGCTACATTTTGCTCAGATTTTGGCAATTCAAAGGAAAAAAATGTGAATTATTTGCATTAAGCACCATTTCCATATTCCCTGAGGGCACAGAACACAGAGTCTGGAGTTTGGCAAGAAACCATCAATGCGTGATGGCCCAGCTGTGAGCACAGGGCGGAGGAGAGGTGACACCGGTGACAATGTGCCAGCACACAGATGTCTCTCTGTCGTGGCTGCCACGTCCAGGAGGTGCCACACTCCCAGTGAGGCGTGGGGAGGTCACCGTGGAGTCACTTTGTGCCAGCATCTCTGGGAGCATTTCATACCAACACATCAAACCACGGGAAAGCACTGATCGGAATTTTCCACAGGAGCACTGCCAAGGGGTTCCTCCTCACCTCAACACCAGTGAGACCTCAAACACCAAGCTTTTGGTTGCTGTCACCTTTATTTGGCAAATGCAGCCTTTTTATTAATTATTCTGAGGACAGTGGTTTTTTGGTGATCAGCTTCAGGAATAAATTTGCAGAAACCAGTGGGATTATTTTTAAGGAGAAATTACCAAGGAGCAACCCTTGTTGGCTAAATCCAACTGCAGAGCCCATCAAGGACAGGCACAGCCTCAAGACCACAAAGCCTTCATCAGAGCAAGGATTTAGGTCCAGCAAAACCAACTTTGTATGAATAGCACCATTTTCTCCATTAAGTTTTTGCTATGAATTAGAGAGTTTTGCATAATAAATGTGAATTGATGACAGCACAAAAAGTCAATCAGCCCATTTTCTCTCCTTAAAAGCTTGACAGTGTTCCTTTAATCCAAGTTCACAAAAAAATGCAGTTCTAACACGCAGTTCTATTGGACCATTTCAGTCCTCACTGATACACTTAGTAATAAAAAGAATTAAAAATCTAATTATTGAAGAGTTCCATCCTTCAGCTTAAGTGCAGCTCGTCCAATCCTGGCACCTTTCATTTGAGCAGCGTTGGCAGCGCCCTAAGAAGCATCACTCAGGCAGAAACACAAAGGCACCAAAGAAAATTCACAGCGACACCACTTTGCTGCTCTTCACCTTCAGGTTAAAGAACCAATCACACAATCACCAAAAGCTGCACTACGAGGGTATGAGGAGGATAAAAAAAGAAGAGTCCCCAAAGCCAGCAAGAAAAAAATGCTGATTATCCTTCCAGAAGCATCTGCTTGGCATGGAGGAGACAACCAAAAGGATGATGTGGAAAGGAAGCAGAGCAAAATTTTGCAGAGCAGCTTAGACACAAGCCAGGGATTTTTCTGGAAAAACCCTGTTGGGTATTGCAAGCATAAAAGCAAGAGAGATCCAGTTGGGGTTCAGACAAAGAATGCAAAGAGCCTTTAATTAAAATAAGCTAGTTTTGGATATTTTCCTGCTCCCTCACTTCACCTACCTGATGGATGGGGAAAGGACCTCAGAAACCAAGAACAGGCAGCACGTCTTGAAAAAATATCTGTACAAATATTAAGTGCGTGCATGTGGATGACTGTGTGAGAGGCTTTTCTTACTCTACCATCATTTTGTTAGCAGCTTCACATCTGTGGGCAGGCAGATGCTCAAATCAGGCTAATTAAAACCATCAAGGTTTGATAAAAAACAAAATAAACATCAAACGTGTGCTGCCTTTGGTCTCTGCTTCTATCTATCAAGATGGGAGAATTTTAGCAATGCTTTGATAACTCACAAATGTTTTCTGCCATAGAGGCAAAGCATCAATTTGGGGTTTTCCTGAACTATTTTGGAGAAGGGAAGGGAATTGCAGCAGCTGGCAGTGGATGCATCATGTTACAGCAGGCTGTCCTGACACTGGCTGAGCCTCCTGCCCACATCTACCCCTTCCACAGCCACCTGCTCTGCTGACAGGGCTCTGGAGGAGGACAATGGATGGGTGCAAGGTCACACCAGTGCACAATTAAACCCTGCTGCTGATCTCACCTTGCTGAGTGTGACCTGGGCAAAGTCAGAATCACAGAACGGTTTTGAGTTGGAAGGGACCTTAAAAATCATCCAGTCCCACCCCTTGCCCAGGGCAGAGACAACCACAGGCTGCTCCAAGGCTTGTCCAGCCTGGATCATGCCTGGACATGGTGGGCAGCTCTCCAAAGAGGGCAAGGACAGTGATCCCAGCTCTGCCACTGCTTGTAGGTGAAGGTTTTCCCACAGATAAGGTGTACCTCAGTATGGAATGTAGATTTAGGAAATCACCTCCTAGTAGTGTTGCCTGTATAATGGAGACTTTCTCATGACTTCTTCCCAATTTGATGCACATAAAAATTTAGGGTATAAATGATCTGAGGATTGTTGGTAAGTTCAAGATAAGCCTTACCCAGCTTTCTGAAGGGTTTGTTCTTTCTTTGACTCAAAACCCAGAGGGAACAAAGCACAATTCCATTTCAATACAGGCTAAAGGACATGGACAGATAATGGAGCAGCACCATGAGAAGGTTTAGAAATTCAGCCATCACCATGTATTAGTTAATTTTGGTATGGAAAGAGAAGGTGATACAAGAATTGAGCCTCAGAATTGTCTCAAGACATCCTGGTCTCATCCAGTTACATATATATCTGTATCTATAATCATATCTATACATTGATACAGATATATATAGAGAGACATAAGCATTTACTGCCACAAACTCTGGCCTGAAAAGCAGGAGCAAGGAGATGAGCACAGCAGGGTGCAGGACCAGCTGCCAGAGACACAGAAAGCGAAGCAGGGCTTGAAATCAGCTCTTACTTCCTGAGATTGAACCATTTTTTTAATATTCTGGATTATCTCATTTGAGTTTAGCCTGGGGTTTATGCAGGATGAAAATGTAAAGATGGATTTTGGAAGCCAGCTCTTTGGAGTGGCCTTTCTCCCTAAGACAAACATCTCTGCCATCTCCCTCTTTGCTTACTCTGTCCAAAAATGCTGCCTTGATGTGCCAGACAGACCCAGGCTCATGAGAATCAGCTCTTCTCTTACACCACATCCAGGAGGTGTCAGAGCAAGAACCTCAAGACCTGAAAGTTGATCTTTGGCCTGCTGCTCTTCTTGGGATTTGCTCCCAAAAAAATTATTCTTTCTGCTTGAACAGCTGCCTCCCTTTGCTCCTTGTCCCAGGCTCCCTCACTCTCCACGATGCAAATCTCACTGATTACAAAGTAATTAATGGTGCAGCTCTGCCTTTAATTTTAACCCAGCTGACATTTTCCCTGCGGAGGCTCTAATTTCATCACGGATTTCAAGCCCTCTTGTGCCCAGAAATGAACAGTAATAGCTTGTACCCGTCTTTCCGAAATTGCTTTATGCCAAGAAATGGTCTAAAAGCACAGCCAGGTCTTGCCTGCCACAGCATGATGATGCACCATCACTTTCCTTTAATTTAATGCCCCTGTGATCCGTGGTTCTGGATGACTGCAAAGCCATGAATTTTCCTAGACAAGAGACATGCTCTCCTGCAGCTGAAAGGGTGAACAGCTTGGAAAATCATAGGAAGATTTATTGCCTTTTTTTTGTTTCCAGATATAACTAACAGTTCAAGAATTATTACAAAAATAATTTGCTTTTTTTGCTGGATAATTTGTATGTCTCTGTTTGAATGACTTGTGTTTTTCTATCCATGCATCCTACAAAAATGAAAAAATTAAAGCAGTAAAATGAAAATATTTCCTTAGGATAATGTTAAATGTTAAAATCCAAATGTACCTTTAAATGTCACTTCTGCAAAAACTCTAATGTTAATTCAATACATTTTCTAATAGGTTCAAAACTAGTTTTGATGAGTCAGGCTACTTCAAACAGGGTAATAACACATTAGAGCCAAAGTGCTGGTGAAAAGCAGGCTCCAGGACAGGCGATGGGCACACATACCAGTTTTCTTGTCCACGTATCGCTTCCCAGCCTCCCTGAAGGCCACCATGGCCCTGAAGAAGGCCCTGAGGACGGCCCAGCGGAACACGGCCACGGGGTCGATCCCGATCATGCCGCAGATGAAGGCGTTCCGGCTGCTCCGCAGCAGCGCCACGATGTCCGGCCGCATGTGGTCCGTGTTCTTCTCCCGGAAATCCTAGGCAAAGAGGAAAGAGGAAAATAAACAATACTCACATGGTACTACAGGTAGGACCTTCCAGGATATCTCTGGGCCAGCACAATTATTGGATTCTGTTTCTATTTTCTCTCCTGCTCCCATAGCAGATCTTTATCATCATCATCATCATCTCTAATGCTCATCATGTGCATTTATTGCATCAGAAGCACGATGAGAGATTTGCAGCAGCAAATCCCAAGGCTATTTCTCACACCGGAATTCCTTCTGCTCGTAACTGGCACGAATAGAAATGGGGTCAACTTTGGAATAATTCACGTGGGATTCCAGACAGTACATGTAGCAGCGGGATGCAGAGACCTAAGCACACATAACCTGTATTACAAGTGGCTAATGATGACGAAAACACTGGGTTTTCTACACAAGCCAAGCCCAGAAAGGCCACTCAATTTCAACTCATTGCTGGGGTGTAGCACTGAACTCACTGCACTCTAAATTCTTCCCGAAATGCTCACGTGAAGGAGAACAGGAAGACGCTGTCCCTACTACTTTCCATTTCCCTCCTGACCCTCCCATCTTCTTGGGCCAAGTCCTCTCCAAAGCATCTCTGTGGAGCCTCTGGGGCTTTTCCTCCCAATCCCAGAGTTAGATGAAAGCAGCTGCTGGGGAGCAGCTGGGTGACAGACCTTGACTCCGTACTTGACTTTGCCCGCGTAGTGTTTGATGATGAAAGCTGGCTCCATCACTGCTGGGAATTCAATGTAGGAGCTCCCCTCGTGCTGACGCTTGAATTTGTCCAGCAGCGTCTGGTTTGTGGCTTGAGGAAAACTGAGGGGAGAGAAATGAAAGGAAGAAGCTGCAAACCTAACAGGAAAACTTTTCCACTTCTTTCATGTCCATGAAAGGGAAAACAGAGACCTTCTGAGCTTCCACTTCTGTGTCTGCTTCAGCAGAGCCTCTTGGTAAGAGAAAGCCAACCCTCCATCCTCAAACCTCATGGCAATCTGCAGCATGGGGATGTATTTCACAACTTTACCCAATTTAAGTTGTTTTATCTCAGTACAACATCACTGGGAGAGCACCACCGCTGGTCTCTTGTCAACGAGACAAGAAGTGGGGGAGAAACCCACGAGGCAAACGGTGGGAGAAGACCTCGTGTCCCTGGCCACCTGGATCTGAGGTGACCTCAGCAAGAACCACCTGGACTTTCCCTGCCTTTTACATGGAGGAAACCATCACGAGCATCCAATGGGAGAACTGTTCTGCTCCGAAGTTTCCACACCAAGGCAGCCCCAGAAGCCACACGTTCCCCCAAGAACTTCTCCTGAGACAGATGGATGCAACCAAGGGTGCAAATCTGAGCTAAGTCCTTGATGCCCCTGAAACCCTGTGGGAATGCAGCCCCTATGGACAAGTGCCCTCACTTCACTCTGGTTCAATTTTTATCAGTCAAATTGATAAATCTGCCTTATATCTCAATAACAGCACCTACAGATTCTGCTTGAACTCAAGTACTTGTGTTCAGCACCTTCACACTGTCACATCCCAAGAGATAGGGAAGGAAATTAGGAGAGAAGCAAAGGAAACCTTCTCCCTTCCCTTTAATGGAAGAAATTCTTGAAAGAAATTTTAATTATTATTTTTAAGGCTTTTTGCTCAGCTGGCTGATTCTCCACTCTGTGTGTTGCCACCTCAAAAACAACACTAGAAACACCAATCAGCCCAGTGAGCTATTAGCACCTTTCTGGGAAGTTGGTTTTTTTCAGAAAACTGAAAGATAAACACATTTTAACCGAAAAACAAATCCCATTTCCAAAGCCAGCATTTTCCTACTCACTTGCTTTCCTCATCCAGCAGATGGAGCAGCCCCGTTGGCTTCTTGCTGATCAGGTTGATGCAGCTGGAGTTGTCTATGTAGTCAATGTTGTGCCAGCTAATTCCTTCTGCTCTATATTCCTCCTAAAAAAAAATAAAAAACAACCCACAGATGACATAATGATGATTTGGTGCAAGCAAAAATAAAAGACAAAATCCAAAGGGTTTTGTGGAAACTGATACACTGTTTACCAAAACGGACATCTCTCCTGTAAATATTCCATCAGTGCTTTCTGTGATTCCAAAGAAAAGGATAAAGAACCTCTGGAACAACCTGAAACAGAGTGAACCACAGAGCATTTCCCAATTTCAGATGCACCAGACATTTCTTCGGACATGGGGTGGCTGTCTGGGAGTCCCAGCCTGCCAAGGACATCCAGTGTGTGTGGACTCCCCTTTTCCTTTTCCTGGATTGCTTCTAAATCACAGCACAGTTTGGGCTGGAAGAGACCTTAAAGCTCTTCTTGTTCCAGCCCCTGCCATGGGCAGCAACAGCTTCCACTATCCCAGCTTGCTCCAAGCTCATCCAACCTGGCCTGGGACACTTCCAGGGATGGGGCAGCCACAGCTGCTCTGGACAACCTGTGCCAAGGCCTCACCACTCTCACAGGTGTTGCTCTGATTTTTTAAGATTTTCTAAGCCTTCTGATGTTTACATTCTTGTAATGAACTTTCTCACACACTTTCTGTAAATAACTTATTGTTTTTGCATTCTTTTATGGAGGAAGAGAAATTTGATGGACTGTTGGTTTGACCAGTGTCATTGGTGAGGTGGCACCTTCACCCTCCAACCCACTGTCACTTTTGGAAATCTATAAATGTTAGAGTCAGAAAATAAACTTCCCTTTTTACCTTGAGAACAGCAGCGTGTCTGGGTTGGGTTGTTTCGTGTCCTATAGCGACACACAGGCATCAATTTCTCCTCAATATCCCATCCATCCCTGCCCTCTGGCAGTGGGAGCCATTCCCTGTGTGCTGTCCCTCCATCCCTTGTCCCCAGTCCCTCTCCAGCTCTCCTGGAGCCCCTTCAGGCCCTGCCAGAGGCTCTGAGCTCTCCCTGGAGCCTTCTCCTGTCCAGCTGAGCACCCCCAGCTCTCCCAGCCTGGCTCCAGAGCAGGGGGGCTCCACCCTCAGAGCATCTCCGTGGCCTCCTCTGGGCTCTCTGCAGCAGCTCTGTGTCCTCCCTGTGCTGGGGCAGCTCTGCAGGTTGGGTCTCACCTGAGGGGCAGAAGGGCACGTTCTCCTGCTGCCCACACTTTGGGGTCTGGGGGCTTTTGGGGCTCCCAGTGCATGTGGAACATCCCACCCATCAAAGTGTCACACAGTTTGCATCAATTAATACTTTGTATTCAGTTGCTGGAAAGAAATTGTGGTACAACACGTTAATTACACAGAAAAAGCAGCAAAACCTCCCTTTCCTGCCTCCCTGGGCTCTGCTCTTCCATTTTTTAATGTCCATTTTAATGTCCCACTATTAACGGCCAGCGCCATATGAGCTAACAAAGACACCTCCAGTTATACAAAGCCACAGCTCCAGCACCAGCAGAACCACCACCCTCTACAGTAAACGTGAGGATCTGCCCTAAAATTCCAGTTGAGACAAAAAAAGCTATTCATTTTCCACCAAAATAGTTCTAACCCTTGCTCTCCTATAAAGGTTATCTCTGAGACATACTTGCAACTGGAATACTTCAAGAAGTCTTACGCAGAAATTGTTTCAGGGCATCAAAATGAAAGTAGAGTTTAAAAATCATAATTTTCATCATAGGTTTGAGGAGTTGTGACTCACTGTCTAAACAGATATTGCACCTTACTCCAAAGTCCTACTGATCCAGCTGCCTTTTTACTTCTCTATCACAGGACATCTTCATGGCAGAATTGAAGATAAAAAGGAAACAGGTTTCAAAATCCTAATAGGATGCATCTTTTAATAATAATCAGATTCATTATTATTGGTGCCTCTGCCTTTATTTTTAATATGAGCAAACAACTTTAAAAAAAAGTATGTACATCCTCATCCAAAATTAACATGAACTCCACAGATATTCTTAGAAATAAAGAGTCTGAAGAGCTTTGAGGCATTTTACAAGGAAATTTTTGCTAAAACAACCCCTAGAAGGTCCTGAATTCACTATTGGAGACATTGTATAATCTCACAACAACAGTACAGACAAATACAGATGTGTGCTGCCTTAGAAGGAGTTTTAATATCCCTAAAGCCTTTGGGATTCAAAATATACAACATCCCATTGGGGAAAAAAACTCCTGAAAATAAGGAATGACTCTGCATCATGAATTTTGTTTTCTCCTTTTACTTTTTAATCTTTTACCTTCAATTCTTGCCGAGCAAGCAGGCCACAGCAGAACCTCCCAACAACATTCTCAAAGCCCTGCTGAATTACAGGCAATCCAAAAAAATCACAGGTTTGATTAAAACTCGTGGCATTTTGCAAGGCAGGAAAAAGCTTCTCTGCAGCAATCACAGGCTGTGCACTCAGAGCAGGCACGAGCTGCTCCTGAGGGATTTCCCTGAGAGTCACTGGGAGCCAGCACCATCCATCACTGCCTGCTTCCAGCAGCCCTTAATGCAGGGCAGGGTCCACTAGGAACAGCCCTGCCAGCTCAAGCCTGGTCAGGATTTTATTTTTTTTTATAATAAAATATATTTATTTCATTGCAGAGAGCAGTAAAACCTTGCTGTGATGAGCCAAGAGCAGCATTATTGCAGTGGTGACACGAGGGTGTTACCAGACTTATATATTTATTATCCTCACTCTTTGTTCAAGTACTTGTTGGGGACTTTACATTTTTTTGCCCCCCAAAAACCCATAAATCATGGAGAGTTTTATGTCTGTGCACATCTAAGCTGAGAAATCATTGCTCTGCTCTAGAAGGACTCTAGATATCCATAATTCCACATGGGACATTCAGCAGCTGCACAGCAAATGTGCTGTGAAACTCCTCTGGCCACACTGAAAATTTATACTGCTGCTGAGATCAGTGCAAAAGCACTGATCAGCAATGCCAGATATGGAGTTTTGAAAAAATAATCTAGTAAATGACCAAAAAATACCAGAGTTCAAGGTCTGTACTTGTCTGGGCTCATTTTCAGCAGTTCCACAGATCTGATGGTCAGTGATCAGGTCCCTCCTGGCACAGTTTCCTTCAGCTGCAGGATTTTGGCTGATTCTCCCTCCTCTTCTCCTTTTTTTTCCTCTGGGCTGGGTCAGAAATCCTCATTCCCAGGCTCTGGGGCTCTTCCCTCCCTCCCATCCCCAACACAAACCTGTTCCTGCTCTGGCCAAATGAGAGCAGGGATTCAAGTCCTCAACAAACAACCTTTTCCACAATAATTCAGAGATTTACTCTCATTTCAGGACAGGCAGCAGGAACTATTCCAAAGCTTAAATGGAAATACGTTCCCCTTATTCCTTTTTTCTAACATTTTTCCAGTTCCTTGTTTGGTTGCCTTCAGGATCTGAGCTCAAGAGATACACCTATGGCTTTGGGATGGTCTGTTGTAATTTCTGGGGTATTTGCTGCTCTGCAGAACACCCTGCAGATTGTTCATAGAAAGACAGAAGCTACAGAATAAAATCACTGCTGTCTATTAAACTTAATTAAATTGCAGTTGTTAATATTCCATGTGATTCCTATATTTGTCTTCTAATGACCATCCTCCTGCAGAATTCAGGACACATCTTGAAAAGCTACCTCCAAAATATTCCTTCATCTCTGAGCATGACCACAAAGCCATCCTTTGATGGATGCAGGGTCCTGGATACTGGAATATTAGGGAATTCCATTCAAACAACATGATGCCTTCATTTAACAAGACAAAAACAACATGAAACACTTTCATTCAAAGAGAAAGACCTCAAGCTGGAGGTTGATTAAAATTCAGCTTAAATTTATACCTTGATTTAAAGCTAAGTTATGTTTAGGGGCACATTCAAATGTCCTACTCCTGGAAGATCATCTTTACATCAGGAACCCAATTGCTGACATTACCACTATGCAAAAGTTTCCAGTGCAGTGAAGTGCACAGAGCCTCTTTTTTGGCATCCTTACTTGCAATAAAAACGTGAGATTTACTCCTGCCATCCCTGGACACCTGTCTGCTGCAAAGTGGAGCCATGCAAGCTCACTGGAGAGAGGAGCACTGAGCTCCCACACTTGGCAAAAGAAATGGAGCAAAGAACTGAAAAAAGACATTGAGGATTTTTTTTAGACTCCATCAGCTTCGTATTTTCATTTAATTATTGGGTGAGAGGCTACAGATGGTTCTCCAGGTGAGCTCCATGGACTCCATGAGGGGATTGCTGCTTCCCAAGTGGGAATTCAGAAACAGCTTTGCTGCCCTAAGCATGGAGAGAGACACTGGCACCATGTCAGCATGGGCTCGCTGAAGGGATCTGAGTAAAACACAGTTTATGATGTTCAAATTTGTTAAAAAAAGATATAAAATGGGCATGCAGACTGTGAAATGCACATGAGAGTAAATCTTTACTCTCACACAGTGAGGAAAAGCAATATGTAAAATCTGGGGTACCAAACAACCAGAATGGGGCAGAATGCACAACATTTTAAAGTGGGAAAATTACTGAAACTCTAGGAAAGGGGGCAATTAAAGCTCTGTTAAAGGGAAACTCTGCCTGCCCACACTGACCCAGAGCATGAACGCTGCCCATGGCACAGAACAATGAATTTAAAATTAAAACACACATGCTGAGCATAAGGAAAACCTTCCCAACTGGGGTGCAAGGCCTGATGGCAACCCTCCTGCCAGGAACAGAAATATCCTGTAATTTCATAGTTGGAGTTGTTGAGAACCAAGTCCTGTTATCTCTACAGGAGCATTGGACCAGTTCTGTTATCAGGACTTTATTTCGGTGCTAAACCAAACCAAAACACTCAAATCCAGGGTGGAATTAAAGATTTCTTTATCCTGAGTGGGATAAAACACCCCCAGGCCCAACAAAATCTTGGGAGAGGCTGGAAAATGTCTTTACATATGATCATCAATTACCCTGTATCCAGCCACAGTCATCAGTACATAAACCCAAATGCTAAAAATAAAAAGC